CAGCCACCTCAACCACCTTGCCACCTGGCTGACCTCAAAGCTGTATTGTTTTCGTTTGTTATTGTTTTTTAAGGTTTCTGCCATAAGGTGTGTGAGCTCTCCAGACCAAGACAGAAAACAGTGAGAGGGAGAGGGAGAAATCACGTGGGATGACCATACCATAATCCCTTCACCTCCATTTTCCTCTTGGGATTTTTTGCATGCATTCACATGTGCCCGGTATGATTCAAGAGTCCAGGACTCAGTTCCTTAACCACTTACTGACCCCCAAAGCGGTTTTCTTAATGTGGCACTTTCCTCCATAGTTATAAATTAATATAACAGTTTAGACTTTTTTTTTTTCCTTGGTTCCTTTAAGAAGAAAATGTGGGCTGGCTGGTGGCATGGTGGTTGCGGTGCTGAATTTCCACGTGGCTGACTGCTGTTTGAGTCCTGGACCTGGTGGCTTATTTTCTCACTTCTCTTCCTTCTCTCTGTCTCTCTCTGGTCAAATTAAAATGATAATAATACATAAAATAAAATAATTATTTTTTTAAAAAAGAAAATGTTAGGGACCAGCAGATAGTGTAATGGCTACATTGCAGGATGCCTATGTAGTCAATCGCGGTTCGAGTCTCGGACTCAGTGGCTTAAATTCATGCCAGGCACGTGTGCGTGCATGCCCGAAATCCCGAGAGGCGTGACCATCCCCGCTGAGGGGTGATTTCTCGCTTTCGGTCTCTCTCTCTGTCTCTCTCTGTCTTCCTGGCGCGAGTATGCACCCTATTGCAAAAAAAAAAATCTCCAAAAAAAAAAAAAATTTTGATTCTGAAGAAGAAACTGGTGAGTTATAAACTTAAAAAAAAAACTAACACTATATGGAACACATTGAAGAAATGCCTAGTCAACCTAGAGGGTTTTTTTTTTTATTTTTAAAAAATAATTATTTTAAGGTCTAGCAGTTAGCATGATGTCTATATTGCTGGACTCGCACGTAGTCGATGGCAGCCACATTCGGCCATGTGGGAGTCCAACGTCTTAACCACCATGCCACCTGCTGGCCAACTTGAAGGTTTTCTATGTCCTTCAAGTTTTAAGAGAATCTGTTGAATACTTTTCTCAAAAAATGTGCTTTTGGGGACCAGCAGTTGGCGTTATGGCTCTGTCACTGGGCTCCCATGTAGTTGGCCGCGGTTCAAGTCCCAGACTCAGTGGCTTAAACTCACACTGGGCGAGAGTGCGTGCATACCCAAGATCCTGAGAGGAGGATGGAGGAAAAGGGACTGTGTGTGTAGTGGCCATCCCCTTGGGGGTTGATTTCTTGCTTTCTGTTTCTGTCTTTCTGGCAAGCAGACGTGCCCTATAGTAAACATCTCTCCCCCCCAAAAAAGTGTTTTGCTTCATAATTTTGTATTTAATTTCCATTTCTGGGGGTTGTGGGTATTCTTTTTAAAAAAACAATTATTTATTTTATTCCATTTGTTATTATTATTATTCAATTTGACAGATAAGAGAAAGTGAGAAAGCAAGCTGCCAGGTCCCTGACTCGAACTATGGTCAGTCATGTGGGAATCCAACACCTTTAACCACACCATCTACCAGCCCCTGCTGTGGGTATTCTTGAAGCCCCAGTGAAACCCACTCAGCTAATTTCCCTTTTTTTTTTTTTTTTTTTTAAGATTTTTGCCATAGGTTATGTGAGCAGTCAGAAGTGAGAAATCACAGCCCCCCCTCCCCCAGCCCTGGGGTTGGGGTATGACGTCATGTGGGAATCCAACACCTTTAACCACACCATCTACCAGCCCCTGCTGTGGGTATTCTTGAAGCCCCAGTGAAACCCACTCAGCTAATTTCCCTTTTTTTTTTTTTTTTTTTTAAGATTTTTGCCATAGGTTATGTGAGCAGTCAGAAGTGAGAAATCACAGCCCCCCCTCCCCCAGCCCTGGGGTTGGGGTATGACCATGCTGCAGGTTATGTGAGCAGTCAGAAGTGAGAAATCACGGCCCCCCTCCCCCAGCCCCGGGGTTGGGGTATGGACATGCTGCAAACCCTTCTCCAGAACTCAAACCACGGTCAGTCATGTGGGAGTCCAGCGATGTAACCATTACGCCGTCTATCCCCCCTTTCCCCGTCCTTTTTTACTAGAGGGTGCGTGTTCTCACCAGAGAGAAAAAGCACCACCTGCAAAGTGTGGTCATGCCACAACCAGTTCTCTATTTCTCCCTTCTTTCATTTTGGTCACGTATGTACCCTTGTCTGACCTCCCAAATTAGACGAGAGATCAAGTGGGTGGTCGGAGGTATCTGGACCTGCAAGAGGTCAGGGTTAAACATTTTAGCCTGAGTTGTCAGTGTACAGCAGGAACGTGAGGAGCCAGGCCTGTCATGCTGGCCTTTTCTCCACATTGTCCCAGATCTGTTCAGCATAGACATTAACTTGAGCCTTAATTCTCACTTGCCAGACAATGAAATGTTCACAGAAAGGCAAAAAAAAAAAAAAAAAAAAAAAAAAAAAAAAAAAGGCGGGCTTAAGTATCTT